CCCTCTTTTATGTGTACTGGGATGGTCCTTTTCTGTGCCTGCAGGATTAGTCCCTTGAGAAATGCCCACCCTTCCTGGACTCCCATCTCTCCAAGGCTTTTACTAATCAGTCCCTCCCTAATTAATGTCTTCAGCTTGTTGAAATTGGCCTTCCTGAAGTCTAGCACTTCCACCCTACTAGTTATCTTCCCTACCTTTCTGCAGATAGTGAACCCTATCAATAGGTGGTCACTATCCCCTAGGTTACCTTGCACCTGCAGATCCCCCACCAAGTCATCCCCTGTGGCCAGTATCAAGTCTAGTGAAACTATGAAAAGAGCACCAGCTAGTAATTTCTAAATTATTGTGCATGAATCAGCTGAAAAACATGCAATAAACCTGCTCTAACCTTAAACCTAGATGAAGAAGTATTAGATTTCCAGTAGGTTTACTGCATTTGTGTCCATACCTATACTGATTTGGACTTCTACAGAATTGGACATGTAACCTGTTTTAGGTGAACACTGTGTTGAAGAGATAGCAAAAAGTTCTTTATGCTACCAGAAAAAAACCCCATTTATGCAATAAATTTACAGCATGATAAACTTACCGGAAATAAAAATTATACAGGATGGTAAAGACAGTGGATTATAAGAATCTTGTAATATGTAAAATGCAAAGTTGAAAGCAACTTGCAGGGTAGGTAGAACAAAATGCCAATGTACTGACCACTAACCTATGGAAAAGTTTAAAACATGAAAATATGTTTCTGCCTAGTCTCTGGAATCCTTTTTTTCTTTTTCTCTTAACACTATAAAACTGTCACAAAGTTCACTAGGCTTGAGCTCTGCAAGAGACCTATGTACTGAAATAAGAAAGATTCTGAAAACTACTGTTAAAGTGCCCTGAAAGCTCTGAGTAGCAGGCTAACTTACTTAAGTCTACTGTTAACACTAATAGCTATAGAACACTTTAGCAATCACATTTCTGCAGAGCTACCATTTAAAAATTCCTTGGTATTCCCCGATTCAATATCCTTCTGTTCCCTTATTACAATTTACAAAAATACCAATCACAGTAATCAAACAAAGGTGGAATTTTTTAAACATCACATAGAACAATTAATCTCAGTAACTCTGTTTCTTTGAGATTATACAACAACTTTTACAACTGTAAAGGCCCATCCTACAACTCTTTACTGTAAGCCTGGACAGCAGTTTCAACATTGATGCTTCTTTGAGGTTGGTTGTCACATTTGTTTTAGTCTCACTGTGCATATGATTTGCATGAGCAAGATGGAAATGTCCACTGGAGCCACATTTGTGCTCTGCATGCCCTCTGGCTCTCTGCAGCAGAAAGAATGAAGGGCAAAGAGGCTGCTGCTCATCAGTCCCTGAACCATCAATATCCAGCTGGTAAAGGACTCCATAGTAGCAGGGAAGAAAGATAGGTCATGGGTTATGAATGAGCAACTCATCCTAAAGAACATCTACTACACGATGATTCTTTTTTTAAATGATCTGTCAACAAGTTTCCCACTTCTAATGACTCACAAGCAGTAATCTCATGTCCTGGATATGGGTATCTGGAGTCTAATAAAATGGGTATACTACAGCTCTGTCAAAGTGGGCCTTGTACCTGAAGCCCTCTTATCTAGTAGTAAAGGTTCTGGGTGTAGTATGAACTGAACTCCAGATACCTGTTTTGCAAATCTCATATCACCTCTTAGAAGAGCTTCATAGACTGCTTGAGCTGTAATGGAACAGGCCTTAATCTATATTGATGAGTCTGAAAATAGTATCATGCTACCAAGTTTGAATACAGCCCATTTAAAAAGCTTTTGTGCAAACATAGGTTGGACTTTCTTCTTGTCAGAAAAGACCAGGAGCAGAAGATACGAGTAGTCTCAATCAACTGAGTCCTTGACTCACTGCTTGTGTCTTGTGATTATTAGGATATCCTGCAAGCTTGGGAGATATGCCAACAAGTTATACTGGCAGTGTCACATATACCAGCCACAGAGACCAACTGCTTCCTAGCAGAAACACTGCAAGTGTGCCCTTCTCTGGTTACTGATGTAGCACATTGCTGTGGTACTATCAGTACTTGGGTAGGATAACCATACATCACTTGGAAAGCTACTTCTCTGGGAGAACCACAGGCTCTGCAACTGAAGGCAGGGCAGATGAGTTTCCTATCTAAAGTCAGATAGACCTGTCATTTGTAGTTTGGTGGGCAGAGGTGATCAGAATGAATGCCACTTCACTGCCTGTGCATACAGCATCCTTCCATTAATCTAACAAAAAAGTCATAACTACAGTTTCACAAGTTCTATGTGGCATCTCCTAGGAAGAGGCACTGATGTACCAATATTGTATGAGAACATAGGTGAAGTTCATCATGCGGGTGTCAGAGTCCAAATATCCCATGAGCTCAAGACATATGCCCTCAACAAAGCCAATTATCAAGGTACAGTAGAATTGGTCTTTTAGTGTCCCGGGGTGGGTTGTATCAACCATGAAGGCACTTGATAAGTGCTCTGGGAGCAGTGGTAAGACTGAAGGGAAGTACTTTGTATTAAGAGTGAGTTTTGCACAAAGATCCCAAAGTGTATGCTGTGTGCTTGGCAAACTGCAGTATGGAGCTGTGTGACCTGTGAATAGTCACATAAACAGTTTTTGAAAAATTAAAGTAGGAACTACAGAAGCCATTTTCACCATTGCTGTGACATTTGCTGATTGGTCAGAGGTCCAGGGATATCAACCCCTTTTCTTCATTGGGATTCAGCAGTATTGTGAATAAGACTCGTTCCCTGGAACTCTGAGGGCATGCTTTGCCATAAAGTGCAGCACCTGGGACTCTGCTTGGATAAGGTAACCTACTGTCTGGGATTTTCAGAACCAACTTGTCCAAGGTTATCCTACCATAGACCTCTGAGAGAGTGGGGAGAGAGGAGGAAACCAACACCAGATGGTTCTGAAGATTTGGGAGATGGTAGCTGGGAGTGTAAACAAATCCTGCAGATCTATGCAATTTTTGACTGTGACATTAAATCTGCTAATTGGAGATGACAGTAGTGCATGACAGAGGGTTGTCTTCTCTGCAAGTTCTCCTTTCTGAGGCTCTAATGATCTCTGTTGGTTACAGTATTAGGAAGATTTGCTTTTGGCTGTGATATGAGGCCTGTATTGCTTCTTCCTGTGGGTACAGTGGACACTCAAAGAATGGGAAGCATCTTTTAAAGCAGGGATAGCCAACCTGTAGCATGCAGCACATTGGGGAAGGGACAG